TATTAAATTTAGTTAAGCTTTTGTTGAGTTATTTTTGTTTAAAGATTCAAAAAAATTTTATTAAAAAAGATTTGGTGCGTTTTTACTGACTCACCAAAAAAATTGAAACCAACTAGACATTGTGACGTGCCATCCCTGCCTGAAATGATTCAATAGCAAGTGCTCATCTTTCTTCTTATTCACTCATTCAATCTAACATTCCAAATTTCTTATATAAATAAGAAAGAAAAGTGCTTATTAAAAATTATTAAAATTATTTTAAAAAACACATTAAACTTACTATGCAACGTTCTATTTCTTTCACTTATATTATCATTGTAACTATCTGTAGCTTAATAAATATCATAGCTTTGATGCCAGCTACTAAAAGTAAAAAGCTCTGAAATATTTATTAGTTTCCAAATACAGTGATTTAATTTATTTAATAATATATATAGCATATGAGGTTCTACTTAGGAATTGGGGTGGTGATAGTTACTGTAAGTATATCGGATTTTATTGAGCTAAATTTCATGAGTGATTTGATATCATGTATATTCCTTTTGATTTTAATTTAATTTTATTTATGTACAGTGACATGTTGTGTTTGGCAGGAAGATTCGCAACACAATTTCATAATTTATATACCTCCAAATGTAAATTATGAAGCTTATTATTGTTTCAATTATGCGACTTTCGATGGTATAAATGACCATGGTTCGAATTTAAGAAATGGTATTCTTACTTATCAAACGTTAGATAATACTACAGCATACTGGGTTGATCTTGACGTCCGTTCTAGAGTGTCTGTAAATGCAGATGGTGATAACGGTTATAACAAAAATACCTGTTTCCACGTATATGGAATTTGGGTTGTGTTTGAAGTTAATACATTTATTTATGAAGCACCTTACGAAGAATGTGAAAGAATCAGAGATTCAAAATAAGACCGCATATCTTTGCAAAAGCATCAATCATTGGTCTTGTATAATGTACTTTGCAAATAATATGTATCCTAGGCTACGTCCCAAACATTGTATTTATTTAGTTAATAATCCTCTATTCTATCTAAATTAATCTAGCGTGCAATGTGCATCCAAATAATTACTCATAATTGATTCAACTTCCACTTCCCGATATTTAATAAAGAAATATTTTACCTTTATTAGATTCTTGTCTTGAAATTTCTTGGCAAATTTCAGCCGGGGTGCCCTGGTCAAAACCACATTTTTTTATTTTGAATGCTTATATATGAGTGCCGTCAAGGGAAGGTAGGTTAGTGATGCCATAAAAATGTCGCGGTCATGTGATCTCTGACCGTTTCCGACCTATTAATGTATTAATCATAATAACATTGATATATGATCAATATATCAATTTAATATAATGTAAATAGTATCACTATTTGATCATTATTAAATTCGGAATATTAAATGAGTCGGAAACGATCGATGATTGCGTCACCGTGACATTTTTATGGCACTACTAACCTACCTTCAAGGGAAAACCCACATTCTGGCTTTCAATTATATTTTGTGCTTAGTTTATTTTCTGAGTGCTGTCTAGTGAAAAT